ACCGTTTGCAGTGGTTCCAGCCACAGAAGAGTGGGATTTCCTCCTGAAGATTGGCAGTAAGTGGTTCCCCGTGAACTGGAAAGATGGGGCAGCTCAGTCTGTGCAGATTCCTTACGGGAGGAAGGAGGGATGACGCCACAGCAGGGAAGTTAAAACTGCTAATATTGTTTGGCAACACTTCACAAGATCAAATCAGCACTTGCTTTTCCAGCAGAGCACTTCCAAGAAATCCCAGTGGTGATGAAAGTTCCTCAGTAGACAAAAATGTCTGAGGTCCAGACTGTAGAGCAGCCACAGCAGAATACAGTCTTGAAAGAGAAGATCTGGGAATACTGCTAGGGCATGTCCTGCACTGGCCATCAGGGAGCATCTAAATCGGGCAGGAGACAGGAATTCAGCTTAGCATCTTCCTCAGGCATTTTTGTTTCCCAGAGGAAACAAAATCCCCTTCAAGCCGGCCCCGCAGTGGCAGAGGCATATTTTGTGTCTGGAAAAAGAACAAAGTAATGGGAACCCGGCAGATAGTCTCTGCTACGACACAGTCTTAGCCATGCCTGAGGTGGGAGACTGCCTTACAAATTGGTTCAGGCAGGTAGAAAACAGAGGTTGCTGAGTGGATGATGCAAAGCAAACACTAATGGTATTAATTTCCCTGAGCTGCTGGGTGTGAAAGCTGAAAGCTACTCATCAGGACTCCCTAGATGGGAAACTACAATGCCCAACACTTACGTGGAATTTAACACAGGGAAGTCACTTTCATCTCCTGCTAATCTAATGCCAAGTTCTTTTCACATTTCCTTTTACCTGGGGCCGTATTTCTCAGAGCAGGAGCGCAACGACCACATTATTGTACTGTCCTTGATCTTTGGAGTCAAGACTGGTGACTGCAGGCGGGACCCACCCGTGCTGGAGGTGACCCAGAGTGGGCAGGAAAGAGAGGGGCCCGTGCTGACTGCTGGTGGCAGGCGGCCGTGCCTGCGGCATGGCAGCAGGTTGGTGGGGCTTTCATGCACACTCCGGAGGGTTCCTACAGTCCCTGGCTGCTTTCTTCACCACCCAGGAAATGTTGGCAAGTGTCCCAATGCTCTTAATTAAAGGTTAGACTTGTCCTTCTGGAGCTTGGTTCCTTTTCTTGCACTCACTTCAAAAAGGGAGAGTTTAAAAGCTCCAGGAGCTCAAAGTGATGGCTGAGGTTCTCTAATTCTAATTTACTCACACTTTTGAAGGAGAAATGTGACTATAGCAACATCAGTAAAAGCCTGAAATATGGTTCTTTTCTGTATCACTAGGAGCACAGACTTCCCAGCGCAGATAAAAAGCAGGAGGAGAATTACCATCTCGGAAATGCATCCTCCTCCTCTGAGCACAAAGGTTTCAGCAGCCCTGTCCCTGAGCGTGGCACTGCTTTAGCCTTCCGCAGGGTTTATGGTCTCTGAGCTTCTGCCGTGGTGATCACAGGGATCTCTTTCTGCTTCCAGGGCTCCCGGGTGACTCCTCCGTCAGGACACTTGCCGAGGGCTCCAGCTCCCATGGGTGGTACCAGTAGATGGCATCCACGTCCAACGTTTGTGCAGGTGCTTCACCCTCCTTCACCTTCCTGAAGGCTTCTCTTTTATTTTTCTCAGGGTCCGTTTCTTCATCTGATTTTTCATTTGAGTATTTAATGCCCTCTAAGCAGTTTATTTTAAAATTTCAAAATACCCACTGGTTTAGTGCTCCTTTCACTGTTCCTATTCCTCCCCAAGAACAAACATCACTTATTCCTTTGCATTCCCTGGCATAGTGCATGACCTTTTATAAAAGGACCATCAGAAAACAGAATCATTAACAAAATCATGAAAAAATCTGTCCACCTCCACAGTGGAAGATGCATGTGGGGTGTGAGCTGGGAGTCTGAGAAACCAGGGCACATCGCATCTTCATAATCTTTATACTTGGGAAAAATAGGTTTTGTGGGAGGGAACAGGAGTGCTGACTAAGTTCCAGGAGCATTCCCTGTCAGGCAGATATCTGGCAAGCAGAGGCAGCGGGTTTGGGTGTTACAGTCATCCTCCAACAATGGAAATGTTGCAAAATATGTAGCACCACATATTAAAAAAGGATTAGGAGTGGAGGAACCACAATGAGTAGGAAGACGGGAGCAGCCTTTGAGCAGAGCCTCAGGCACTGTTGCAATAACATGTTTTCTGGAGCACGATTACAGCTGTGTCACAGGCACTGCTTGCCTGACAAACCGACCCGGAGGTACAATCCCCACTTCCACGCGTCTGTGCAGATCCCTGAGGTCCAAGAGCAACCTTCAGCCCTCACAATGTTGCTGAATATAAACCGAGCTCTCATCTGCCACTGAAAATGCAGGGGCTTACGAGCTGTGGCCCCAGCTCCTGTAGGAACTGAGGACAACCCAGTGGAACCCAAACTGCTGCCAAGTTTGGAGTCGGAGGTTAAGAGAAGAAAAGAAACTTCTGCCTAATCTCTGACATCTTCTAAATCTCTTCTCAGGTTACTAAGGCTTGGATTACACCACAGACCAGACTGGTGTTTTTTTAATTAATTCCCTTTGGGGCTGTTCAGAATCATATTTAACAACAGACTTATTCTGGGTTTGTTGGTCCGGTGTTGCCATAAAGATGACAAGCAGGAACTGCTGTGGTGGATCGCTCTGGCTCTAGCCCAGGGTCTCTAATCCAGCCTCGACAGTGCCTGATCCAGATACCTCAGACGAGAGGGCTGGATCCTTGGCCGTGGAGAGTTACGGAGTATCTGCCTCACTGAAGAAGTTCCTCCCAGTCTGAGTCACCAGTGGTTGCTTCATGTTCTGGAACGTGAGGTTTACCCTCCTAAACGTAATGGAAAGGTGGATAATGCAACTCTAGACTTCAGTAATTAGACACCCACACGATAATTACACCCTGCATAAAAAGAAAAAGTGTAAAAAGTCATTGTGAAAGTAATTTACCAGTTTAAAAATGTTGCATTTCAGTGCCTCTGGCCAAGTAACACCTTGCTTTTCTAGTGTCTCTTCCTTCAGCAGATCTCAAAGCCCACTGCATTTGCCTTCATTTAAAAACACATAAACCAGATGCATCTGAGCTCACCTTGCTGCCCGTCACACCGACCTGCCACAAACCTGGGACAGAATCTTTACCAGAATCTTCACATCGTGACAAATCCACCACAGGACAGCAGTCGTCTGACAATCTTTTCCCTCACACTCATTTCTAGCCTAAAAAAATACCCCCCAAATCCATACTTTCATGTTTTACTTTAAATACCTCCTTATTCTCCTGGATTACCGTTGCAACGCTGTGACCAGAGGGACTCAGCCCTCCCTGCACTCTCCTGCCTTTGGCTCACGTCTTGGCAGGAGCACAAGAGCTGTTTCCCAGCCCGTCCCTTTGACTCTTTATTTCAGCTTAATAAAGCTTCTAACTCAGCTTAATACCAAACTGCAAAGATCACTTTACTCTCAGGAAGAACATTTTGATGGAAGTTTGTACTGGACCATAGGCCAAAATTTAGTCAAATGCTACAAAGACAGGACATATAACTTCCTAAACATGGTGGAAGAGGCTAAATTTATTTCTCAAACTTACTTAAATTGAGTTTGAAGGCAAAAAGTGAGCAGTTTTCCGGAACACAGGCTAAGTACTGTCTCTTTAAGAGACTTTCGTACACATTTTTTCATGGAGAATGATTCCCTGTTGGTTTTAAGAGTAAACCAATGGAACGGAAAAAATCGTATTAAAAACCACTCAAAGGCACCCCATGCTTGCAAGAGCCCCGCAGAGAAACACCGCTGTCCTGTCTGCTTGTGTGTTCTCTGCATCCAGCCAGCCCTCACTGCCCACCGCCGTGCCACCGCGCCAGGCCACCGCGTCTTCGAGCAAAGAAAACGCCAAGGACGTGTCCCAGGCTCCTCCTGCTCACGAAATGCACTTTATGGCTCTGCTGAGCCAGCTCCTGATGAGTGACCTGCCCTGTGCCTGCGGGGACGCTGACAGCAGCGAGAACACCGTCTGGTGGCTGCGACGACCCTGTCGTTGGCCACCACGTCACCGTCACCCTGCTGAAGTGCAAGCAGGGCACTTCCAGACATTCTTTTCCCAGTAGCTGAGCGCTTCAGCTCTGTCCGTGCACACAGCTGGCCCCGCAGTGTGGGGACCCCCGCTCTGTGTCGGGAGGTGCCCAGGCTGAGCTGAACACAGGAGCACCCCGGGAGTACGCACCGTCGAGCAGGATGGCATCTCTGCTCCCTCCTCTGCCAACATGCACTTCAAAGGCTTGAGTTGGGGCATTTTCTCATTTTCCGGTCAAAGGAGGACAAGGCGGTAGAGCTTCAGGCAGGAAAGGGCAAATCAGAGTCTGCTCCTGCTCTACGATAATCTAGGATAAACTTCCTACAGCTTGAAACAGTGTCGTGAACACACAGAAAGCTTAGAGGGAAAGATATTTTTTTTGGCTGAAGGTCTTTATAGCCGATGCAGGAACTCTCTCTCATTAGTTACTCATTGCCCCAGTAAGTCTCATAAAACAGCGAGCAGAGCCCAGCAAATACTTTTCTTCAGTGTTCTGGGAGCTCAGAAATCCAGGAATTGAACGAGGCCTTGAACCCTTTTTATGGACTCACTTCTTACTGAGCTATCATAAAATATTAAAATTCAGGCCTTATAAATAAGAAGGGTGAAGAGCTGTGTGTTGCTTAGCAGAAGCAGCCTCTCCCGAGATTCTTCCCGAGGTAAGTGGGGTGTTACCTGTCCCAGAGACAGCTTTCCCCGACAGACAGATGATTGGAGACAACGAATTCATGCCACAGGGATTAGAGATGTAAAACCCCCTTGATTCTGCTCTGAACTGGAAAACACCCGGCAACAAATGGACTCATGCCCTGGTGACCCTGTCCCTGTCAGGGCAACAAGCAATTAACCCCCACGAGCCCCGAGCAGAGGCAGCAACACTGTGACCCTCTCTCCAACAGACGCTGGCTGGGCCCCCCTGAGATGGCGCAGGGACGCAGCCTCGCAGTGCCCCGCGCAGCACCTGTCCTCACCGCTTGCTTTCTGGCATGCGTAGCCACAGGTAAGCTACAGAAAATAAAATCTGCGTCGTGTCAACACACAAAACCGCGCTGGGGTTGGGCAGCAAGAGGGCGAGCAAGAGGGTGGAGATGACTTTTTGCTGTGTGTGTTCCATGGTTGCTGCTGGTCTTCTCGCTACAGGTCAGGCTCTGGCATTCTTGCAGTCAGCTGCAGAAGCCTGACTTTTATTCTAAATAACCATGAAAGGAGCTTTGTGATGAAGAAAACTTCTTGTCTCAAAAACTAAAGTTGCACCTGAAAACAGCTGTTAGACTGAAGCCTGAAACTCTCAGTCCCTCCTCCAAGGTCGAGGGCCTGGAGAAGCGAGCAGGGCAGCTTTTGTGGGAAGGGTACAGCTTAGGACGCCTAGTGCCCTTGTTCTCCTCCTTTCGCAGGTCTGGAACTGTCTGTAAACAACCAGACCGCTGACTTCTCCCTGTGCACAGAGCCTCTCTCTACAGTCTCCCTCTCCTGCCTAGTACAGAACAGCAGCTGGGATGAGGAGCTGCTCTGGTACCGAGGAGATGGGCAAGTGGATCTGAAAGATGGGAATAAAGTGAACGTCAGCAACATCTGCATATCCCCAGTCTCTGAGTCTGACAACGGAGTCACCTTCACGTGCAAGCTGGCCCGGAACAATTCCGTCCAGGTGTCTGTGATCCTGGATGTCCAGTGTGAGTTGCAGTGGTGGATATCTGTGCAGAACGGCTGGGGTGGGACGAAATCATGGGCTGAGCACCTCGGTGTCTGGGCGCTAGCTGAAGGCGGGGTGTTTTGCACCCTCGCACGCTGCCTTCACCAAGAAAAAATGCGTTTAGGAGGAGATAACTCATGTGATAAGACACTCCCTTTCCACAGTGGTGCTTATGGCCTGATCTAACGCCTCTTTCATAGCGTGTGGGTGGGCCCTTAAGTAAGAAGATGTTCTGCCTACGTCCCTGCCTCCACCTAGGTTCTTTCCCAAGGATACAAGGCAGGGCAGAGGAGTTAGTTACAGCCCTGCCCACTCCTGGGGACCATGAAAGGCTGCACAACTGTGATGTGTTACACCACTGAGCAAGGTGCACGAGGGGATGTGTAAAGGGAACTTATTTTGTGTTAAATGGTGAGCAGCGTTATTAATGACCTGTTGAACTGCATTACTGTGAGCAGTTCTTCCCCAGCTGACTGGAGAAGAGTCCCTCCAAATCGAAGAAGGCAAAGATGTTTCTCTGACCTGCAACACCAAATCCAACCCTCACGTCCAAACTGCTTGGTATAAGAACAACGAAGCCTTGACCTTACAGCAAGATCGTTACCAGCTGTACGAGACTAGTGAGGTCTTGCAGCTCACTATCCAAAATGTACAGAAGTCTGACAACGGGACCTACACCTGCTATGTGGAATCTTATTTGGGAAACAGCACAAAGGATTTCCACCTCACAGTTGAAGGTAACTGAGAAAGCTGCTGCCAAACAGGGAGATTTACAAATAACCCTCCACTCCCTTTTATAACAATAGCAATTCATTTATATTAAGAAGTGTTGGTGGGATGTGGTGAACTCCCCAGACACACTCTCGAGGGTACAGCAACAGCAGGGAGGAGCTCTCCTTGCACCCGTGCCTGGAACCACAGCACCAGGAAGGGCTTTTCCTGCTCAACCTGTTATCCAAAGGCAAGTGTGACTTGAGGCAGGCTCATCCCACCGTCTCACTTCCCACGCTGACAGGGCACGTTCAAGTGTGGTTTAAAGCACTTCAGGACTTACCTGAAGCATCTGACTCCGACCATAGTGTAAAGAGCTGCTTAGGGCAAGAGTTGTCCTCCAGAAGTGACTACAGCCCTGTGGAGAACGGGGAGGTGGAAGTTTTCCTGGGGCTGGATGCTGACGTGTCACGTAGGTGATGCTGGGTGAGGTGACCCACCACCAGGCACCCATTTCCCACCCACTGTCCAGGCTGCTCTCACTTCTGCACTTCAGCTCACTAAAACAGAGGCTTGGCTCCCTTCTTTCTAGGGCAGTAATACAGCAGGAGCACAGTTCAGATCAGTAGTGACAGCCATGGGGAAAGAAATATGTCTTTCCGCAGTTCTGTGAAATGTTCCGGTTTGTGTGACTCTATCACATATTCAACCTCCCCTCTCTCCTGACAGATGAAAAAACTCCTTTTCCCATGGAGGCTATCATTGCTGCCGCTGTGGTGGTTACACTCACGGTGCTTTTTGGAATTGTGGCTCGAAAAGATAAAATTTTTAAGGTACGGAAAGTTCTCAACTCTTAGGAAAAAATGAACATCGTTTTGTTGCGATTTTTTTCCTATCTTTTCTACGCTACTTTGTAGTGTTGCTTTCCCTTGTTAGAAAACTGCTGCATACCACCTCGTCTGATATTACCAGTAGACACATCAAATATTAGATATTTTAAGGTGGAAGGCATTACAGATTTGCAAGATACTCATAGAAATGTCCCTATGGCCAGAAAACACAAAAGATAACAAGACTGTTTGTTTATTTTCAGTGCTTCAAAAAATCAAGTGAAACAGCACTGTAAGTATTTGACTGCTTATTCATGCATCTTCCCAGAATAAGCTTCCAAATGAAACCCCTTCTTTAAGCCTTGGCAGAACGTGTGAAACAGAAGAGCGCTCAGCGTGCTAAACCCAGCCCTGCTGAGTTACCGAGCTTTTGCTCTGGGGGGCCAACATGAGCCCACCCCTTGTTGCCCAGCGGGGAGGGGTCCACGGGGGGACACGGCTCCTGCCCTCGCCCCAGCCGTGCCAAGGGCCTGGCTATGTCTGCGTGGAGGCAGCGAGGAACAAACCCAACAGTGTATCCCCAGCCTGCCGAAAGCTTTCTGGGGCTGAACACAGCCCAGGTGAATTGGACATACTTGTTTTTTTCTGTAGTAGATGATTTTTAATTTCTTCTTTTCATTTTGCTGCAGGTAAAGACCACAAGGTTCCTCCGCGTACCCAGAAAGCATCATTTGTAGAGGTGCAGCACAACCCCTCGCGTGAGATGATGAGATAAAGCACTGAAACAAGTGGTTTGGGTGAAGTTTATATGGTCTTTTCAAAATATAAATGGTTTTTTGTGCCTGTTTGTTCTAATCTACTGCTCAGAGCACTGTCACAGGGGGCGGGCTGCCTGAGCTGTTGCCAGATCTTTCCTTCTATGCTTATTCCTACGAGGTGTGCACGTGCCATCACGCACGCGGGCTGTGGATCAGTCAACAGAGGAGTCCATGCGAGGTGGCCGCAGCTCGTGATGCCGATACACGCAAA